TACTGGGTTGGATCCCGGCTTGACTTCAGGATTACCTGAACTCGATGTGGCATAGATTCAACAAGATGCTGGAAACATTCATCAGAGATTTTGGTCTGTGTTGACAGCATCGCACACTTGCTGCAGATTTGTTGGCTGCACATCCATGATGCAAAACTCTTCTTCTACCACATGTCAAATGGGCTCTATTGGAAGAGATGTGGAGGCTGTGGAGGCCATCTGAGTACAGTGAGCTTATCATGTTTCAGTGGCCAGTTTCAGATGATAATTTGAGTTTTGTGACATGGTGCTTTTTCCTGCTGGAAACAGCCATCAGAACATGAGTACACTGTGGTCAAAAGGGATGGACATGGTCAGTAATAATACTCAGACTGTGCTGTTTAAATGGCATTCAGTTGATACTTAGTGGACTAAAGCTTGCCAAGAAAATATCCCCCATAACATTAGAGCCCAACCTCCAGCCTGAACCAGTGATGCAAGGTAGGATATATCCTGCAAATGTTTTTCTGGTCCTCTGATGTTTTGGTGAGCCTGTTTACTATTCTGAGCTGACAGAGTGGCACTGTGTGGTCTTCTGCTCCTATAGGTCATCTGTTTGACGTGTTGGGCGTTCAGAAATGCCTCTCTGCATACCTTCTTTGAGTGGTTTTTTGATTTACTGTTGTCTTCCTATCAGCTCAAATCAGTCTTGCAATTGTTCTCTGACCTCTGACTCCCACTCCCTTAAAAATCTTCTCTCTTGGAAAATCCAAGTAGATCAGCAGTTTCTGAAATACTCAAACTAGTAGAGTCACCCTTCTTCCCCATTCTGATACTCCCCATTTCAATTCCATTCACTTTTATTCATATAGCACCAAACCACAACAACAGTTGCCTAAATGCTGTAAGATAAAGACCCTGCAATGTGACAGAAAAACCTCAACAATCAGACGACACCTAAGAGGAAGTACTTTGGCGACAATGGGAAGGAAAAACTTCTATTTAACAGGAAAAATCCTCCAGGAGAACCAAGCTCAGGGAGGGGAGGGAGACAAAAGACATGCTGTGGAAGAAAACTAGCGATGAATAATAACCCATAATTAAATGCATGGTGTGTGAATATATATTGAGTGAATAGGGGTGAGAGAATGCTTTTAATTCAGCTAGTTGTCTTGACCATGTCCACATAACTGAATGCATGGAGTTGCTAGCATGTGATCGACTAATTAGATATATGTGTTATCAGTGTTGGGAAGGTTACTTTTAAAATGTATTCCATTACAGAATACAGAATACATG